GTTGATAATAACAAGGAAAGTGTTTTAAATGTTAAATTTTGGGCTGAGTGCAGTGTGACAGCGACGTGAGTGTTATACACCTGATGATGGCCGTCTGTGGCCGAAACATGTAGTGTGGGTGAACAAGATCAAGGACACATAATATATTGTTTGCACTTGGGACGGAATTTGTATCATTATATCAAAAATCTAAATGCTAGAAGAATCAACTATACATAAACAACAAATCAAAAGGTGAAATGTCTTCAGCACAAGATCTCAGTTTCAAGTTCAAGAATGGTTTTTAATATGAAGGCAAATTGAAAAGTCTTTGTCCCTATTTTTTTCAGCCACAATAATACACATACAGGGAAATCAAAATACAGGCAGTGTTCTAAGTACCTTTGACTATTTTTCCACATAGTCACCACCCCAGTTCAGGTATTTGTCACATCACACTACTAGTTTGGAGATGCTGCTGTTGTAGAATTCGGCCAGTTGAGTGCGGAACCACTGCCTAAGCTGTTGGATGATCTGAACAAGGCAAAGAGAATGATGAAATCACTGCAACATTTGCAGTGCTGCTCCGAGGAGGGTGAAAGGTTCCTGGATCTCACTGTCGCTGATGATGAAACATGGGCATTGCATTTCACTCCAGAATCCAAGCAGCAGAGCATGGTGTGGAAACATCCCAGTTCACCTGCCACAAAGAAATTCCGCAGAATGCCATCCATCTGGAAGTTGATGGTCATTGTCTTCTGGGACTGCTGAGGACCACTCCTGCTGGATTTCAAGCCACGAGGTGCCACCATCAACACGGACAGCTATTGTGGCACACTTGCACATCTGCGAGCTGCCATCAGGAAAAAGTGCCCAGGGATTCTCGTGGACAATGTGGCTCTCCTCTATGACAACGCTAGGCCTCATGTGGCAAACATGACCGCGATCCAACTGCAGTCATTCGAATGGGAGATTATGGAGCATGCACCATATAGTCCAGACCTCGCCCCCAGTGATTACATGTTCGGTCCACTGAAGAAGTTCCTGGCAGGCCAGAGGTTCATTTCTGATGACGATGCAAAAACCACTGTCCAGCGGTGGTTCCACGCTCAACCGGCCTAATTTTACAACAGCAGCATCTCCAAACTAGTGGTGCATTGGGACAAATGCCTGAACCAGGGTGGTGACTATGTGGAAAAATAGTCAAAGGTACTTAGTACACTGCCTGTATTTTGATTTCCTTATATGTGTATTATTGTGGCTGAAAATAAAATAGGGGCAAAGACTTTTTGATTTGCCCTCATAATAAAAAACAACGAACTACGGCCCTGGAACACATAAACGAAAACCCCCTAGAAATGGTTAACCTATCTCTGGAACAGGCTGTGAAGGCCCATATGATTGTGAGGCATCAAGCCTCCCACATATTCTACACAATCGGTTCACAGATGGTGGTAAGGTTGTCAGCTTTACATCCTGGCCGCTCTTTAGCTTCCAACAAGATTCCTAATACTCATTTCTGTCAGAGGCTGAGTCAACCCGAGCCATTGTGCAGATGGAAGGGTTAAGTAAATTGAAAAATCCAATGGCCTCATCAGGATTCAAACCTGTGACCTTCCAGCTTGTAACATAATGCCTCAACCAGCAACATTACTGTGTGGCTCATACAAAACTCCATACTTGTGAAAATTCACTGTATAGGCCAAAAATATCACAAAATAAACCACCCTTCATTTGACTGCAGAAATCTTCTATTTTTTTTTTTAATTTTCTCTAAAATATTATGTCTCTTTACCTTCACCTTTCAAATCCTACTTTGTTTATGACTGTAACATGACCATATAAGCCAATGGACTAAACATCAATTCAAGTGCACTTGTGAAGGATATGTCACATGTTTATGGTATTCTATGAACAAGAATTGACTGGCCCATGCTTAGGTCACACATAAAGTGTGAACTAAACATGCATATACAGTAGAACTTGGTTATAACGTCATCAAAGGGACCTAAAAATAGTGTCGTTATAAACGAATGTCGTTGTAACCAAAATGGGCACTTCCACAGTAGCCTTATGTTAGTCACGTAAAAATCTACCAAAAACCGAGTTACAATGTTGCATTTTTTAGTGAAATACGTAGTTAAGTACAGACTAACGTAACATTAACGTGGAATTGCCCAAATGTGTAATATCAAAGACATATTACAGCGCTTTTCACTGACAATACACACCGCACTAATACTGTATATTAAAGGTAGGCCTACTCACCAAATTACAGTAGATTACATCAATTGTTGTGCCTTACTGTACCTAGATACGAGTACAGTAATCAGTTATCTTCATCTGTTTCCTGTTACTTTCCCAATACACACTTTCTAAATTACGTTCAATGTCCATATCAGAGAAATTCAGGAATGAAAATGACGTTACATACGAGGTTGATGCATTTGTGCATGTCGTACTAAGCAAGGTATAAAAACAGTTGCTTTATGAGGAATTAGTTCGTACCATTGAATATTTGATGCAATAGACAAGGTGTCGCAGAAACCGATGTTGCTATAACCAAGTTTTACTGTATATGTTACTTTCAGTGTATTAAGAGAGCAATACACGTTATATTTAATAAGCCTGGGACTGGTATGTAGAAATACAAGGAACACTGCAACTTTCTTGGACAATGTTACACTAAGAATCATCTCCATTTTACCTCGTTTCTGTTCCGCGAGCTGAGCTGCCTGTTCCTTTTTCGTGTGTTTGTTGAGACAATAGGTGCTGCAGAAATCCTTTGCAGATGAATCCTGCTGTTCAACTCGAACCGGGGTACCACGAATAACATTGTCACAGTAAAGACAGGCACCCTAAAAATGCAAATTAAGAGGAAACAATAAAGCAGGTTTGTGCAGCAATAATGCTCCAGAGTATTCCTCAAGTGGTACCTGCTTTGAATCTCAGGTTATCCTCACTGATGGTCTTTGTAATTTTTCCAGAACATCATGATACTATCCTGAAACAGGTCATGACTGTCTCCTTATATACTCACACATCATTCATATTTCCCCCTCTAATTTGATTCTACAAGGGTTGAAACTTTAACAGTGGCACCTATTTATTTACAACTGATACAAAATACATGCATGTTTCAAAGTTTTACTGTCCTTCAATGTAGTCACCAGCACTGTGCACAACCTGTTGCCAGCGATGTGGAAGTCGTAGGATACCTTTAGCAGTGACATTATTTGGTTCCGTTGCATGGCGTCTCTACAGCAGTGTTGCCACTATTAAAGTTCCAACCCTCATATATAACCATGACTGTACAACCATTATTGTTAAATAACCTTAGAATCAATCAAATAAATAACAGGAAAGAACTCTGTTTTCCTCCTTCTCCTAGGACAAAGATATTGTACAGTGATGCTTTGTCAACTGCACTGGTCATATTAAACTTGAACAACAAATTATATGACTGCAGATAAGTTAAGAAGAATGTAAAATCAAGCAGCTATGACCCATTTTGGGTACATTTCCAAAACCTGTCTCTGTGGTACAGTGGTCAGAGTCCCTGGCTACAGATCCAGAGTTCTGGGTTCGATTCCCAGCGATACCAGATTTTTTCGGAGAAACAGTTGGTCTGGAATGGGTATCCACTCAGCCTCATGATGATAACTGAGGAGCTATTTCAAGGAAATGGCGGCTCCGGTCTAGAAAACCGAAATTAACTGCCGTGGGGATCTGTTGCGCTGACCATGTGACACTCTCTATCCGCAAAAGTTGGCACTAACTTTGCCGACAAGCGGCGGTTGCTCGGTCGGTATAGTTCACTTGCGGACTAAAATCACGGAGTTTGTTTTGTCTGTGAGATCAAAGAAATGCATGAGAAACCTAAGCCACAATAACAGGTGCCATAGCTGAGATATGAACCAGATACATTCCAAATATGAAGCAGGACTGCTGAGTACTAACACAATAATTACTTTTAGTTGCTTTGATAATACATACATACATACATCCTTTTAATATAATTTTTAATAACTCTTTTTATGTAATTAATGACAAACATTTATTTTAATATTTAATTACTTAACATCCAGTTGTACATAATTCAACATGGATCTGACTTGAAAACCAACTGGTCATAGTAACTGTTTCAAAACTAAGTTCCTTTAATTAATATAATTTTGTGTGCCCATCTGAAAACAGTAATTTAATGACTGGAATACATAATGGTGACTAGATGTGTAGATACAAAGCCATATAAAGTATACAGTACTCATTTAATTTAAATCCTTCTAGTTCAATAATCTCAGTGTTAAATTACTTATTTTTAATTTTTCCTCAGTTTTGTTTTTAAATCCATTAGTCCCAAAAGAAACTTTAATGGGGGTTTCAATGTATGAACTTGGTATACAAAGAATATGAATTTGAAAATAGAAAATTCTTGTCGTTTAATATCATATGTCTTGTAGAAGTTCACAACTTTCTGATGAACATGCTGCCTCCACCTTCAGCCCGAAGATGGAAGCAGCATGAACCTCTGAAACATTGATACGTAGCACGTCCACAAAGTAAGTTTCCCACTTGTCCCACAGCTAGCAAACCCTATATTGCATGAAGTGACTGCGCGTACGTGATACAGCAATGATGCAGCATGGCGCATGCACTAATGGAATTTCCCGCATTCCCATAGTAGCATCATTGCAGCTGTTGAAGATGGAGGCTCTTATTCCAGCTCCCGCCGAATGTGAAGTGCAGTCAGTGATAAAGTTTTTGAATGCACAGAGCACATCGCCAATCGAAATTCATCGTCAGCTGTGCCGGGTCTATGGGCCTAACGTCATGAGCAAGTAGATAGTGCTTCGCTGGTGCACACAGTTTTCAGCAGGTCGACAAAGTGTGCATGATGAGAAGCACAGTGGGCGGCCATCCATCATTACAGACAACCTGGTGGAGCTTGTGCCGGAATGAATTATGGAGAATCGTCGCGTCACAATTGCAGAACTCAGCAGTCATGTCCTGCAGATTTCCCACTCCTTGTTGCACGAAATTGTCATGGTGCACCTGTTCAGAAAATTGTGCGCCAAGTGGGTGCCAAAGAAACTGACACCAGAACACAAAACAAAGCGCATGGAGTCAGCATTGACATTTCTGCAGCGGTACCATGATGATGGCGACGAGTTTCTGGACCGGATCATCACAGGTGATGAAACGTGGATTGCACACATTACCCCAGAAACCAAGCAGCAGTCAACGCATTGGCGTCACAGTGGATCTCCCTGTAAGACGAAATTCAAACAGACGTCTGCGCGGAAAGTGATGCGCACGGTATTCTGGGACAGACGGGACGATCTCCATGTTGACTTCCTGACCAGAGGTGAGACGGTGAATGCTGAGCGTTACTGTGAAACACTGCAGAAATTGTGATGGGCCATTCAGAACAAGCTGCAGGCGATGCTTAGTGCCGGTATTGTCTTCCTGCACAATAACGCTAGGCCGCACACGGTTCAACGGACAGCAAGTCTCCTGCCGGAGTTCAGCTTGGAGGTGATTAAACATCCACCCTACAGCCCGGACCTCGCTCCTAGTGATTTCCATCTTCTCCTACACCTAAAGAAATTCCTGTCCGGTGAGCTTCAGGGTTTTGAGAATGACAGAAGCAAAGATGGTTGTCACACAGTGGTTCCAATCCCAGGTGGCAGACTTCTACGACACAGGTACTCAAAAGTTGGTCCCACAGTATGATAAATGTCTCAATTCCAGTGGCGATTATGTTGAAAAATAGCTGAACACTTGCTGTATCTGTTGCAATAAATATTTCCATGAAATTGTGTTTTATGTCTGCAAACAGCCCCAGGGAAACTTACTTTGTGGACGAGCCTCGTATCTATGAAAATACACATTACCACAACCCAGAAGTTATCTTCACAGTCACTGTCATATGAAACTCAAATCTTCGTATAAAAATTAGAATTTGTGTAACCCAAGATTACTTTTAAAAGCAAGCTCAGAATTGTGGGAATGGTGGTTCATTTCATCCATTAAAGGTAAAGAGATAAACCACCAAATTTATAAAACTGACTCCTGTAGTAGTAGTTGACAATCCTAATACAAATTTGGATTAAATTTATTTCAGACTACTCACAAGAGAACTTCTGAACTTTAATTTTATCACACTGTTTTCCTGCTTAACTTGAGGCATTCTGCTGAACTATGAGAGGCATTACTTGGCAGCTACCTTCAGCTATGTTTTGAATGAAACTGAAGCTTATCATTGTTCACTTTGTTCACTCCCTAGATGTGACAGGAGATGGTGTTTCATTGAATCAGCTCCCTTTGATTCTACATATAGATTCTTGCTTTCTTCCACTACCCTCATGTTTACACCCTCTTATAAGTTATGTGAGTGTAGTCAAGGCATCTATAAGCAAAAAGTGACCACCCACATTTTCAAAGATGCGACAGAAGCACTACCTGCAAGTGATTCTGAAAAGAGTACAAATTCACAAGGCAATAACAGTGATGGTGAAACTGATGACCAAGGTGAATGATGATAGTAAACAGGAGGAAGATCCTGCCTAGATGTTGACTGTGAGGACATGATATATTATGTTGGTAGAGGGAAAATTTTCCAGTCTAGAAAACCAAAATTAACGGCTGTAAGGAACTGTCGTGCTGACCACATGACACCCTCTACCCACTAAAGTTGGCATTAACTTCACCGATAAGTGGTGGTCACTCGGTCGGTACAGTTCACTTGTGGACTGAAACCAGGGAGTTTTTTTTAAAGGGAAAATGTTTCAGATAATTGTAGATCTAAGAACACTGGGAAAGGTTTAATGAATATGGTGAAATTTTCAATATAATTTCCATGGACCCTGTCCTAGTGATTGTAATTGAAACCAATGGCTATGGTGAACAATTTCAGAATTCAGTAGAAAGCCATTTTCATACAGTAAATTGTTAGATCATTTAAGTCAGTGATGTAAGACAATAATATGTGTAATTCAGAAACCTACATTTTGAAATTATTTCTCCACAAAGAGAATTCTACCAATGAAAAGTTTCTGGTGATGTCATTATAAAGTACTACCTGGAATTGATGCATAAATTCCTTCATTTCACTGATAACAAAGAAATGTTCAAGGAAAAAACACAGAAAAAGGAGAGACAAAATACTGTGTAAAATACGTGGTGTCAGACTGTGACTTAACTGTTCTGAAGACTACCACACCAAACTGAACTGCTGACAAATCATCGGCACTATAGTGCAGCTGTCCTTACAGGTGGGAAATCAACTTCTAAGTTAAGTGAATTGCATACACATTAATAACATACAGTTCCCTAAACTATTTTATCAGTTTTGAAGGAAAGAATCTTTAAAAGACAAATCATCATATTACAAATTTATATACAGGACCTCAGACCTGGGTTCCCTAATAAGAACTTTCCTACCTAGCTGAGTGACTGCTGGTTTCTCAAGGAGTTTGCTTCATGAAGTTAGTAACATCTAGCCTCCATCTTGCAGCCATTCTGTATCTCTTCCAGAAGAAAAAAGCTTGATCACAAGTGGATGAAATTCTAACTTTACACAGTATTGCCATAATCTGAAACCAGCTTTGGTGCTATGAAAAGAACCTATTATACTGTCACGTACTGGGCGTTATACGTGACTTCACGAGGTATTTGATGTAGCGAATTTTATTTCACATTCGCACTTACAATTACCCAAATTACAGATTTACGCTTACTGCTATCTGCAGTATCACAATTAGTACACTCCAAATGCCACAAGACAACTGACTGGTTGCTGGCTAACTCGGAACTAACTCGGAGGTAGCTCGAGGACTGACTCGTAGGTAGCTCCAGGACTAACTGACTGACTGTGAATAGCCTTCGCTGCTCCTTATGTAGCCTTGATCGGACAATTGTCGTCTGGTGCCTTGTTGCTAGCCACGCTGTCCGGAGTTGTTGACTGCTGCCTAGCAACCGCGATATCCCTCGGTGACGTCACCGCTGTTGATTCGCTTTGCATAGCTTCATGGTCGCGGGGACTCGGCTAACGTCGGCTCCGCTCGGCTCACTTCGGCTCCGCTTGTGACGTCACCGCGCGTTGCACGTTGCATAGCTACCAGGATGCGGGGTGATTACTCGCCTATTACGCGAGCGCTACGTTACAGCTACGTGCAGCTGGGGAGGTAGGGGTCAACATGTCACAATATAATACGTACATGTTATTACTGTAACTTTTTTCTTAATATAATACTACTGTTACCTTTATGTATGCCTTTCTGAATTCTGACAAGCAGGTTTCGGAACAGAATTCCTTCTTGCCATGCTGAGTAGGTAACACATACTTCAAGGGCTGTTTGTTTTCCCCGCACCAGGTACACGATATCTTGTTCTTTGAAGGTCTTCCTGCACCTATTAACATGGATGCAGGGCTACTGCCTTCAAAACAGTACCACCATATTTTCTCTTGACATCACTCTTTAAACCCACTGCATCCTTAGAATGAAATGAATAAAGGACCTTCATACAGTGGCAATAAAAAATTTATGGTTATACATTTTTAGTTCATTACACAAAAACTTAAAATGGGAATCACGGGAATACAAAAAAAAAAGTAAATGAAAACCTGGAATTTCATACTTTTCGCATAAACGTTTCTCCGTCACTGCTTGATTCTGAAAAGACATGCCAAGTATTCAACATCAGGTTGTTGTCATACATAATTACTGTTACCATATTCAAAACAATATACTACAAAGTGTCAGGGCTGGATGAAAGATGACACTACTGCACTTAATATAGATCCTCTATTAGATGAGCAAAGAATACAATATGCTCAATAATTTACCCTTAATTTCAAAATCATAAAATGTGTCAATCACTCTGCTTTGTCTCTATAGGAATATCTACCCCAAAACTGTATGACTCTTGGCCTCCATTCCTCTAGTTCCAAAATCTAGCCCCATGTCACGTTTCTGTTTCAAACCTTAATGTTCTTACTCCAAAAAGAAAAGATTTGATGACACTGCACTTATGGAAAAATCGCAGACTACAGAAATTTGCTGATTACATATTTTATTGCGCTTCAACATGTTGACTGAAATATTCGTGGAAGAAGTGAATATACCCCATTAGAATCCTTACACTTCCAAGCCCCAGTGTGCTGTGGTATCACCTCGAGGAATGCTGACAACTGTAAGACCAGTAATGTGCAAAAGACTGGCTCACCAATCAGTCTCCAATGAGTGCATATAAAACATGACGGAAAACTTGTTCCTAACCAAATTTTGTTGTTACTCTGAATAACAGGAATTGTTAAAAACAAACTTCATCAAAACATCTAACACCAATAACTGAAAAGTTCTGAAAAGACAGGTAACATATAAAATAAGATGCAACACTTGATAAAATATGCAACAAGTTGTGCTGACATCAAAAGAAAATGTTTTCGGCACAGGTTGCCTATAAAACAAATCTTACCAACAATACCCAACCTCTGTTTTTCTTCAATATGGCACTATAATGGTCACTAAGTAGACTGAGTTCACAACTTTCAATTGATAACTTCAGTTTTTCTCCATGAATACTTCCTGTATTACTCTTTCTTGTCTTGATATAATGGCTTCTAGTTTCTCAGTAGCTCCGGCAACACATTTTGTTGCTGGGTATTTCAAATTTTCATTAGACTGAAAATCTATTTAACATTTATAATAATATCTTGACCTTCATTATGAATACTAGGTCTGTTTTTTTATGTGAAGACATCCTCAAGAACATTTGTCCTACACTAATACAGACAATTCACTCTAAGAAACATTATAAATGAACTGAACATGTATACATAACATGGATGACGATATCAAGCACTCATCACATGAACCTCTTCCTTCCCCTACCACATAACTTCAGCTTCATTTGTATAATCTGCAGTTAATGTAGCCAGGTAATACATTTACAACTACCTTCACATAGTACATTTTGACATGAACTAATCAAAAGTACAGTATTCATTTTGAACATTTTTTTTCTGAATACATACTCTTCAGAGTGATAGCAACATACACAAACTTCCTTAATCACTAATTATTCATGACACAAAAACACTTCAAGGTGAGTGTTGCTCATTGCCTACATGATGGCATACCTCGTACTTTACCATGTGGACCGGACATATCTGACTGCTGCCCTGACAACTTTAAGACCAACTGTACAGGAGCTTAATAAGTTCTGATACCTGCAAAAACAAATTAAACCCATTATATATCATATATTCATCCCCACAGCACTGGTAGCTTGAAAAAAATTACGCCCATAATAAATATAAGGTAAGAAGGCAAAGCTATCCCTGTAACCGGCCATGAAGGGTCCACAGGGTTATGAGACATCGAGGCTCCAACATTTTCTAGACAGCTGGCTCACAGATGGCACTCAGGTTGTCAGCCTCACATATCAGCTGCCCTTTACACCCCAGGAAGGTTCCTGGTACTCATTTGTTAGAGGTATGAATCAACCCCTGGGCCATAGTGCAGCTGAAAAATCCAATGACCTCATCAGGATTCAAACTTAAGACCTTCTGGCTTGTAGCATAGTGCCTCAACCAACTATGCTACCGTGTGCCCCCAACCACAGTAAATTTATATTAATTTATTTCTTTTTAGGATTTTAGGCAAAGCCAGCTACATTCACATTAGTGGGATATTTGGAACTATATAAATTTGCGTTTCTTAACTGGTGGCCTGCTGATTACTACCACTCCACAGATTCTACATGGGTTGTTCAAACAAAATCTGTTTGGGGACTCGATGGGTGAAGGATGAGAGGCTGATAAAAATAGTCCTGATGGGCACTGAGGCAGGCATGCCTTTGATGTACTAGCTGCTGGATCCTCTCCACAAAAAACTCCCTTAGTTGCTGCTGGAATCACTGCACCACCACAGCCTTGATGGTTCTGTCTGATTCAAATGTGTGGCCCTTTATTGCTTCCTTGACTAGGATGAACATATGAACAGGTTTCATTTGAACAACACACACAGCTATCATTTTATTTATATACATATTTACCACTTCTGCAAAAATTACTATTTTGTAATTAGTATTTCTTACTAGGTCATGGGTTCAAGTCTCAATGAGGTCACTGGATTTTTTTCAGTTGACCTAATCCAGCCACACTAGGCCCTGGGGTTTACTCAGCCTCTAACAGAAATGAGTACCAGGAATTAATTTAATAATTTCCCTGGAGAGTAATGCATGGCTGGCGCATAAGGCTGACAACTTTACCATCTTTGAGCCGACTGTCTAGATAATGTGGGAGCCTCAATGTCTCACAACCCCATGGGCCTTCAGGGCCTGGTACAGGGATAGCTTTACTTTTTTACTTACTTTTACTAGTTTCTTCTGCTGACTAAACTATGTCAAACACAACTAAATTTCTGCACAGCCATCTCACTAGGATAGTCAATTATACCTGCTTTTCTTTCCATTATATACTGAACTGAATATATGAGAGATTTCTCAAGTTTCAATTCTCTAATATTGTTATGCATAATTTTTAATTGGGAATATTCACTGTGGATAAATTATGTCTCTTAAACTGTAATACCACATAAGACATGAATTTTTATACTTTAAACAAACATTTTTACATGTGCTAGTAATAATTAGACGGTTTGTGATACACAGAGTTCCAAAGAAACTCACTGCTGTTTTATTTGCCTGTGAATCCATAACAGTTAAGAACCAGTGATGGAAGTTGATGGGACACAACTTTGTGGGATTTTATTTGTTCTAAATGTTGTTGTTGATGGAAAGTTATGTTAACACAATGCATTCAGGTTCACCAATATTTTCACACATCTTCACGCTTAAGGCATGTTCAGGCAATGATGGACACTGAGTGACCATTAATGTGACTCAGAAAGAAACATGGAGGGATACATACATACATACGAGGGGGTACCCAAAGAAACCGAACTTATTTTTTTTTAAACTTATTTATTCAAATTTTAAGCACAAACCTTCAATCCCCTTCAAAGTACTCTCCACTTACACTAATACACTTGTCTAATCTTTTATTCCATTTTTCAAAACATTGTCTAAATTCGTCTTTTGAGATGCTTGGCAGCGCCTCCGTCATCTTTTCCTTTCATGTCTCTTTTCATTCGAGGAAACAAAAAAAAAAGTCGCAGGGGGCAAGGTCAGGTGAGTATGGAGGGTGAGGAACAGGGGTCATACCATTTTTGGTCAAGAATTGTCGTACAGACAGGGCTGTGTGAGCAGGGGCATTGTCATGATGGAAAAACCAGTCACCCGACTGCCACAAATCTGGCCGTTGAGCTCCAAGTCACTCCCGACAGCTGCACAAATTCTTCAATGGTCCGTCGTCGATCCTCCTTGATGATTTCACGAATTTTTCAACATTTTCATGTGTTCAGGCCGTGGAAGGACGACCAGAACGAGTTTTGTCATCAATTGACATTTCACCATTTTTGAAACAGGAAAACCACTCAAACCCTTGAGTTTTCCCCATAGCATCATCCTTGTACGTCGTTTTTAACATTTCAAGAGTTTCTGTTCCACTTTTCCCCAGCAAAAAGCAGAATTTCACCGCCGCACGCTGTTCACGAAAATCAGCCATTGCAAAAATGACGATCACACAAAACAGTTGTCACTATAAACTCTGCCGAAACTAGTCCTTACCTTCTGAAGCAACGGTAGTCAGCTTATCGACTCAGGAATGTTAGCTCTATGCACTCATAGCGGTACTACAAAAGCTCTGCCCACAAAAAAAAATAGTTCGGTTTCTTTTGGCTACCCCATCATACATACATTTCATTTCATTTCATTTCATTTCATTTCACAAGTCCAAACAAACGGACATGAAGGTCGTCATACAAAATTTAAACAAACGCACAGATAACAAAATAATTAAAATTAATTGTTTATGTTATGCTCCACATATTCAGAAACTATATACAAGGAATTATTCATAAGATATAAAAACAGCCTATTTTTAAAACTAATTCTATCCTCTTTAAGGCTTTGAATGGTTATGGGCAATCTGTTGAATAGTTTAACAGCAGTAAACATAGTACCTTTCTGAAAAGCAGAAAGATTCGAGTTTGGCAACTAGCCACAAATACCGTATTTACGCATGTACAGGCCGCACATTTTTTGCCAAAAATTCAAGAGGAAAACTGGGGTGCGGCTTATATTCGAAATATTCGAAATCACACTTCATTTAAAAAAAAATTATATTCATAATTAGTAATACAGGGTGTAATACTCCTGAAATAATATTCCAAGAAAATTATTTTTTCTATAATTTCTGTCTGAAAATTGTGCTGCGGCCTATACATGCGTAAATACGGTATATTCTGTCATTTATTTGGAAGGCCATAATGAAAGCGGAGATGAAATTATCTGGTCAAATACAATTGTACCTGTTACTATTTACAGTGAGATGAATTATGCTACCAATCCTGCGAACACCTCATCATTATATAGGATGGTACGCAATGAATCTAAATTGATCCAGAAGGAAGCAGTCAAGACCTACTTTTCTTTTTTGCATAGTGGGGGTGGAGTCCAGTTGGGTCCACCTGGCATGGCAGCCACTGAAGTCATGACCTACCTTGAAGCATTATCATTGAATCTACGTGAAGAGACTGAGGAAAACATGAAAAACCTGTCAGTGTTCTGGCTGATGTTCAAACCATGAACCCACCATATACAAGTCGGAAGTGTTACAGCTTAAACTAACTTTCGATTACCAGTCTTCATAAAATCAAATCAATGAATGTTATGAAATCAAGTATAAGAAACTGGAAGGATGGGTATGTAGAATAGTTGGGATGAACTTATCAGCTTCCACTTCTTCAGTTTGGCAATAGTGATGCCTGCTTTTCCCACTTCTATAACATCTCTAGTAGTACCCTCATGCACTATAATCAAAGTACAGTATAGTATGACCGATACAAGAATACCATAGGCATCATGTTATGATGAAGATAATTCAGGCTCTAAAACAAACTGTCAATAATCCGCAGAACAAACACATTTACACAGATTCAATTTCCATAAAAATTTCATATGGTTGCTGCACACTTACAGGGACTTAATGGGCTGAACTGGTTTCATAATTTCACCATTATACTAAATTAAATACATGCATTATGAAGCTCTTTATCCAATCCCAAGTACACCTCAACAACTGTTGAACAATATATGATAATTTACTTAAACCATCCGCAGTGCTCTGCTTCTTGATTCTCTAAAGGTGGTACTGGCTACTGGCTACTAAATGGCAAATTATATTGAAAGTCCCATGTAATCTGGTATCCACATAGGTAACTAAAACAGTGAATTATCGTACAACTGTTCATTCACTTCCCTACAAGACATGTCTTTCACAAGCAGTCTGTCTCACATAATAACTACTACATACTACAGAAGTGTGTGTTTCTGTTACTAAACACAAGACATTGGAGCATCTAGTGTTTACATTTAATACTCATATCAAAAATAAATCCTAAGTGTTTAGCAAATTTGGGAGAAAGCTCCCAGGTATTTCACATCTTTAAAAATTAATAAATCAAATACTGAAGATACTTCAAACAGTAGGATCTTGCTGCAGCTCAGGTTTTCAATGGTGACTACAAGGAGTGTTGTCTTTTAGGCTGTAATGCTGTGCAGTCCTATACAAGCTCAAGGAAGTTTTGGGGAAATATAAGCCTCCATCTTCAGTATTGTGGAGTAAGGCAAACAAGTAACCAAAAATATTCAAGCAGCAAGCAATGCTTTCATATTTGACCAATACATTCATAACTACATGCATCAGGCAATAATCGGCCGACGTGCCAAGAGGACCTAATACGGATTCCACCTCACACTATGTGAAATCTTAACTATTGTAATCTACTGTAAACAATTTTATGTATTGTAACCTTATTCTCTTATTGTAATCAGCCAAGGTACAGTAACTGACTTGTCCTATATCATGTAACAATGATCTATAGAGACGAAATAAATAAATACATACATACGTGTGCATTATACAATAGGCTGGTTTTCTTTTAAGGATGGTACTGGGTATATAAAATTAAATATCATATTGTGTGGACCTCTTACAAAGCTGCAACATCATGTTGTATCGATCCACACATGCTATATTTATCCAACATAAACAGAGCAGCACATTACTTTGCCTTTGGTATCTAATGCCACTACAGATATTGCCACAGCAATTTTTACACAGAAACATAGTTGACAATCTTTACATACTAATGACGTCTTAATGTAAAAATACTGGTTTCCTGTTGCATATAACAATTAATGTTTATAAAGCTGTGAAATGCCAACAGTTAACATTAATTCTTACCAACCCCGGCTAAAATTTATACTACGCTGCCCCTTTAACAAAACGTATACATTTAAGCATGACACTCTCTCGTCCATCTACCTGAGAACATACCTTAACGAGTTTTGCAATCAGATTTGTGTTATCAGTTTAATAAACTGCTTACAACGTTAAATGTGAACATTATATGACGCAATTAATACATACTACTAAGAACGCCGCCATATTGAGCGTCATAAACACACATTCCTTCTACCATTTTGACAAAATGGAGATACGTTCAGTTCAGTGGTAACCGTGCTAACGATTTAATTCTGCTTTGTTTCGGCTTCTGGATAAGTCATTCTGATTGACAGTATAGAATTTTAGAAGTAGAGAATTTATGACCTGCGCAGCTATTTGATTTTGTAATTGACACATGCAACAGATTTATACATCTTTGCATTATATACTGTAGAAAAGATAAAGGCACAGAAAACGAAATAAATTATTTGAAGAAATCGATAGTTAAAATAGAATTAAATTTTTGCAATATAAATTACTGAAATAAAATACCAATAAATATAATGTCAACAGTTCATGGAAGAACACGAATGTTTACTTGAGACTTCTACATCTATTTATCGAATACAGTAATACAGAATAAATTATTCTGTAAACAAGACGTTCTGCTACATTAAAACTTACACACACATTGATTTCAAGGCGTAACGTCAGTTCGGCTACACGGAAATGTAAATAAAGTATATGAACTCCAACGTAACTTATCTTTAGTATTTCAATTTTTAATCTAAGGAAACAATTTTCGTAAATGGATAAATTTTTAATTTAGAATACTGACAATCTAGAAACCCAATATATAAGAGTTCTAGCTTCTGGGATATGCGGCCCAGTATTCCGTTGAGAGTCAACTAAAGTTTCAGAGGAACATATCTCCTCCATCTTCAGGGTCGAAAAATACGCCAGGCAAGAAACAAGCGCGCTTGCCACTTGCCATTATAAAGTTATATTCAATGCTAGAATACAGAAATACCTGTACATAGTACGCTAATTTGTTTTTATTGCTGGTGGGGTGGGAGTAAGTCCCTTGCACTGCGGTCACGTCTGGCCTATTGTACCAGCCCCAGATGATAGATAAGGGTGACCGTGGAGCAATTGGTGGAGTGAAGATAGGCAGGGGAAACCGAAGTACTCTGAGAAAGCCTGCCCCAGCTCCAGTTTGTCCACCACAAATCCCGCTTGACCAGACCCGAGATCGAACCCGGGCCGCCGCGATGGGAAGCCAGCGACTAACCGCTTGAGCTATGGCGCGGCCCTAGTACGGTATAAGTCCTTGAACAAATTAGTAATCACAGCGCTTATTTTGTTAAGTCGGTAGACGCTTTTGTTTGTAATGCTGGTGATGCTGCTGCTAGCGCTCCTAGGGTGCTGATACGAAACGCAGCTAGACACCTAGGGTCTGCTGCATGAACTACATGTGGTGACATATGTCACAAGACTGGCACATTCTGTGTACTTCATGCGTTGATTTCCTTTAGCTGAAACTAAATACTAAGCTCTGTGGCTTTGGTCTACAAACCAACTACACAGACCGAGAAACCGCCGCTTGTCGGCGAAGTTAGTGCCAAGTTTTGTGGACGCAACGGAAGCCCACGGCCGTTAATCTCGGTTTTCTAGATCGGAGCTGCTACTTTCCTATTCAAGTAGCTCTTCAATTATCCTCAGGAGGCTGAGTGGACCCCATTTCAGACCTACTACTTCTCAGAAAATCTGGTGGTGCCAGGAACTCTGACCACTAGATCACAAAGGCTGTTAATATCCTTTAGCATCCTTAGTATGAGCTGAAGTACAAAATTTGTATGAAATAAATTACATAAAATTTTTCAATACTTTATTTTTTGTTATATGCTTCTGTATCAGTTTTGCAATCTTAAAGTGGCCACACTAAAATAAACAATACCTTACTTTCTAAATAATACATACATTAATAGGTACATGAAATTTTATGTATGCATCCTAAAGTAAAATTATTATTTACAGTATAGTATACTTTAAAGACTCAGTATAAGGAAACTGTAATTTCCATGAAATATTGCAGTGGTACTGCATTACTGTAAATAAAATTATGTGTGCATGTCTTAACCAGATTCTTTGCTGTCTTGTTCCTTAGCCAATGATTCTTGTTTGATCTTATAATCAGACAGTGCCGCTTTAATGGCATCCTCGGCGAGCACTGAAAGAAAAAGAAATTGAAAATATGGGTTAACATTTTCAAAGCGTACAATTATTGTGCTTTTGGACATTATCCATCATCCTGTTTTTTATTTAAAGCAACATTTCAGAGACCAGATTCTGCCTCTGTCCTCTAGTAAAAACCTACTCGGCCAGGCCCACTCAATAGGGCTAGTTTGGCCTGACTGAGCAGGTTTCTACATGATGATGGAAACAGAATTCAGTCTCTGAAACGCTGTCTCAAACAAAAAACAGTATGATGAAAATGTCCAAAAACACAATAATTGTATTAATATACCATCATCACATACTTTTAGATCTTATATACAAAAGGCAGTCAAATTTAAGTATGACAGTACATACTTGAACAGTGTAGTTTCACTGGTGGCAGACACAGTTCCTTTGCTATGTCTGTGTTCTTCAGCTTTGATGCCTCCTCAACCTGAATCAAAATATCAACAATGATAATATTTACAGATCCTTATTAACAGATCATACAATCAACTTTAAGGGCTTCAGGTATGGTCAATCCAAAGCCTAGTGTTGTTCTCAAGCAACTGAACATATAAAACTCTGAAGTGCTGACACACTTTTCTATCAAAGTGAAGGAATGAGTGCAGCTCCACACATGAGGTGGAGCATCCCCACACCCCTCTGTCCACTTAGCCATCAGAATGCTTAGTCATGCTCTCCCTATGCAACCAGTGTCACCAATTTCAGCCTCCCACAATCACCAGTTGGGCTACAGGCTAAAGGACACTGACACAAGATCTCAGCATTTTTAACACGGTAAGGAAGTCTCCATGATGCTGACTTCTATGTTCTATAGGTAAAAAAAGTAAAAAAGTAGAACTATCCCTGTAACAGGCCATGAAGGCCCATAGGGTTGTGAGACATTGAGGGTCCACATTATCTACACAATAGGCTCAAAGATGGTGGTAAGGGTAGCCTTATGCGCCGGCCACGCTTTACTCCCCAGGAAAATTATTTATTAAATTCCTCGTACTCATTTCTGTTAGAGGCTGAGTGAATCCCAGGGCCATAGTGCGGAAGGATTAGGTCAACTGAAAAAATCCAATGACCTCCTCAGTATTTGAAACCACGACCTTTCAACTTCTAGCATAGAGCCTTAACCACTATGCTACTGCATGCACCCCAATGTCCTATAGGAATATCAACAATATGTATAATTCAGAGTGTAATAAGTTACACATTCTTTTCATTTTTACACCAACACCAAGAGAAACAGGGCATCAGCATATAAGTAACATATACATAAAACTAACAACAACAGCTGGTAACACTGGTTATAGGTGATACACTGAGTAAAGTGCTGAAGGAGAGGAAATGGAGATTGAGGATAACAAAGTTACATGTGCTTCTTAAATTTTGTTCTTTATGCAACTAAGGAGTTTAAACATGCAAGTTCTGAGAATAACATGATCCACATAATATTTGTAAGATTTCAAGTTTTCATGGCAGTGACTATAAGGAATGCCGTCTTCTTGGATGTGGCACCATGTAGATCCTTTGTGAACCGACTTTTCGGAGGAATGTATCACCTCCATCTTCAGGGTACAGAAATTAGCGAGCATGGCACTAGCATGAGCAGGTGACTGCCAACTGGGTTGGAGCTGGACTTTTTGTTCAAAGGACACCCTACAATGTTTGTTTAACTAGAAAACTACAGACTTAAATGTATAAACATACTCACACTCTTTCCTTTTACCCATTCTGTAGCTAGAGAACTTGATGCAATTGCAGACCCACAACCGAAAGTCTTGAATTTAGCATCAATTATTTTCCCATTTTCATCTACTCTGATCTGAAGCTTCATGACATCACCACAAGCTGGAGCTCCTACTAGACCTGTACCCACATGTTTGTCATTTTTATCAAGAGAACCTACATTTCTTGGATTCTCATAATGGTCTAGAACCTGCAAGAAAAGAGTACAATTTATTTCAAATCTGCGTAGTTTAATTTTTCAAATGTATCCTAATAGATCTGTATGGCCAATCTTAACCTCAAGCAAATGCTACTGAACTAATGAATTACAGATGGTACACAGCCGGGAATGATACGCTAAAGATCACTGTTAATTAAAAGCTGCAGTTGCTACAGCGTCATAAGACAATCAATGAGTAAATCAATGATAAAACATAACCTAATTTGGACGCCTACTTCCTGACAGAAGATTCACTACAGTATTACCCACAAAGCCCAACCACAACATAAACTTTGTTATAGAAATTGTACTTGGAAACAATTGCATGTCTTACATTTGGATGATAGAACAGAACAGGGTTACTAAAACTAGTGGGTCTACTCTTCAGCAGACTCCCGCATGCCTTCTTCGAGATTGCATTAAACAATGACATCATTCACTACACTGCGCCGACCTTTCTGACCGCTAATGAACGTGGTTGGGTATCACGTCTTACAACGAACAATGCTATCACCAACTTTGTTACAACTTGAAACAGAAACTGAGATCAAAAAATTGTATCTCACATGGTTCACTTTCCCAACAGAATGGGAAACTTAAAAGTAATGTTGGCAGACACGAACATCCAAGCAATGCTCACGTTGTTTACCTTGAAGACCGTGAAGTTGATTGGAAGTATAATTAGGTGTGTTGTCTATTAAGTAGACTGATTATATGGGAGTGGAAAACGTAATATGAATGACGACATATCATGAAGAAAAAAGGAGAATGGTTTTCACCATGATATATACGAAATAAAAAATGCCCTTTTTCATGTAATCGTTTCAGAGATGTGAACGCAATTGTTTGACGGTGCTTATTATCACTTCACGCATCCATCAGATGATTTCATAGCAGTTCCTCAAACAATTTATCCAAATCCAAAATCCCCATACTGAAATATAGCTGTCCGTTTGAAATTAAACCATACAAACTATATTCGTTAGTGTTCTGCAAGACGGGTTGGAAAAGTGATAAAAATACGTTTCCATCACAGCCATTTGTATTCCTAATTCATTCAGTCATTATTAATCTGTCAAGACGACAGGTTCACAGTCTCTTCCAAAACAGTTCATCCACTTGATGCGATCTATAGCGTTCTCCTTCAAATTAAAATATCCTCTTCTGTCCCCAAGGTCATCCAGCATCATCTTATGTCTTCGTCTTCTGGTCACTTCTATCTTTCCTTCAATAACTTCTTTTAGAAGGCAGTTACCGCGTAACATATGACCAATCCAATTAGCCTTCCGTTTTATTTCGTGTAGGATATTCCTCTGCTCACTGACTCTAAATAACACTTCTTCATTTCTCACATAATCGGTCCAACTGATCTTCTCCAACACCACATTTCGAAGTATTCCTAATAACCGCTAATAAAGTTTGTCGAATACCAGGTCCTAACAGCAGTCCATCCAAATCTGGAAGTCATGGAGGGGGTGTGCCTTTGAGATGTGGGCGAACGCCTACGGCTAACCCAGTGTTACATCTTACAAGAGGGACCATAAATTTCGCTCACCAGTAATACTTTAAGGGTTAATAGAAACTTCCATTACAATGAATGATAGAATATAAATTTTTTTGCATGTTCTGTAGCAAGCGTATCAAATCATTAACCTACTGCAAAGAGAATCCACGCATACAAAACAATGCAGGCAGGAAAGTAATCTANTCAATTCAAAGAAATGAAAAACAACAAATTGTGAAGATATGTTATATCTACAACCTAAACTTCCTTTGAATTTTTGTAATGTCTTCTACTTAGGGCTGTTTCCGTATCACCCCGACAAACAGCCCGACTTCCCATCGTCAGCATTTTTAGAGGAGTTGCAACTCCTCCCCGCGACTGCATCCATTCTGCGGTGGTATGAATCACGGCAAATTGCAGCCGCGGCGCGCACTTGATTGTACGCACTGTAGTATGGGGACATAGTGCTAAGACCCTCACTGGAATTTTTGTACTCCAAAAAAATGGCAGTAAGATACATTGCAGGGCTAAAACATCTGTAATCCTGCAGTGATAGCTTTGGAAATATAAAGATACTAACAGTATACTCACTATACATACAAAAAACAATTCTATATGTAAAAAAAAAGTGTAACTGCACAGTGATTGAACAAATACATACATATAACACAAGTAATAATAAAGACTATCATATATATGGGCACAACTTAGAACTTTATAATAGTAATCCTTCAGTAGCTGGCTGTATCTTTTACAGCATATTGTCTAACATAAAAGAAATAGAAAACAAACATCAGTTCAAGAGGGAATTGAAGAAGTTACTTATTCAGAGGTGCTATTACTCAACGGACTATTTGAACGATGAATTCTCGAATATTGGCTACGTGGTAGCATAGTGGTTGAGGAGCTATGCTACAAGCCAGAAGGTCACAGGTTCAAGTCCCGATGAGGTCATTGGATTTTTTCAGTTGACCTAATCCTTCCAGCCACACTACGCCTCTCAGCCTCTAACAGAAATGAGTACCAGGAATTAATTAAATAATTTTCCTGGGGAGTAAAGCGCGGCCGGCGCATAGGGCTGACAACCTTCCTGTCATCTTTGAGCTGATTGTCTAGACTGTCTAGACCAGGCATGTCAAACTCAACTTATACAGAGGGCCACCTCAGCCCTACAAATAATAGTCTAGGGCCGCACTTCAAAATAGAAATATACATTAGATTTTGATACAAGGAAATTTAATTCTATTTATTATTTAGGAATAATTTCAATATAATTACCTAAAGGCACATATCTTACAGTTTTAAAAAGCAAGAGAATGCCATTTTTGACAAGTATCAAACAACTTTTCAATATGTAAAAAGAGAGATTACACAAGAAATTATGTTAGAAATAGCAAAACATTGAATTTCCTGCATCCTGCTAATTTATGTCTGCGTGAGACTTCTTGTCTCCTGGTCTGTTGGTAAATTGTCTTTACAAAAAATATTTCTACTAAAATTTTAATATCAATTAGTTCTAAAAGATGAGGGGCCGCACTTTGTGGCTATGGGGGCCGCGTGTTTGACACGGCTGGTCTAGACAATGTGGGACCCTCAATGTCTCACAACCCTATGGGCCTTCATGGCCTGGTATGGGGATAGCTTTACTTATATTCAACTAGATCCAATTACAGGGTGAGAAAAAGTTGACACACCACTGGATACAGAATGCATCAAAAATCAAAACAAATGTTCCAACCAATCACTGGAACAAGTCAGAATAACATAACATAAAACATAGGCAACACAAGTCACTAAACATAATAAAATGTGACTAAAAGACTTGAATACTAGATGAAAACATATTAACCATTTATCTTATAAAATTCATCCAGTTTATAAAAACAATGCATATGAATGGATATTATCAACAAACAATACAATATCAAATAATGTATGTTACATCACTCATATATCAAAAGAAAAACTATAAAAACATCTAACATGCAAGGCCAATGATACTAATGATATAGTTACAATGTATCTTAAACAGACGTTTCTATAGGTCTTCACCATTAGCATGAAATACTGGGAAGCACTGTTGCGTCGAGATTCAGTAGATGAATGCAACATCTACCTACATGCAACAAATGCCAACTGCAAAGCCAAAGTCACTACTGCAATATCAAAGGAAACCCAAGCCTCTGCTGTTGCTACATTCTTCTTTCTTAAATGTATTATGTTGAGGTGGATTTGCTAGTATTATATTGAGATAGTTTACAACTGTTTGTGCAATTTATTTGTCGAAGATGGTATTAAATGCTGGCCTTGTCACATTGTTCAACAATATTTAGGACTGGAAAGGAACACAGGCGAAAACAGAGGGAGTAAAGTATGAAAGAGTATATATTAAATGATGAAACTTCCCACTGAATTTTCAATGGTTGTTATGCTAGTATATATGAACTTTACTTATATGCTAATTATACTTTATTAGGTGAATAGTCAGTAATGACATTAATACAGCCATAAAATACAAAATGTAAGTACAAGTACATATCTTGTAGCCGGAATGTAGGACATTGTAGCACATGAAATTGCTTTATAGTGAACTGCAATGGATGCTGAAACTTTAGAATTTCTGAGTATGCAACATCTAATTTTCCATGCATATAAATCTTCTTGAAATGTACCACATTCAACCAATTCTAACCTGCCTATAAAGACGAACTGTCTGTAGAAAAAACTGACATTTGCTTTATGTCACCGTTGCTTACACATTCTATCTTTATACACATAATACACACAAAAAACCTAACTTCACCTCTACTTTTTATAATTCACATCTTATCATTTTCACACATTCAGCAACATTGCTTTATACCTTACCAGCATGATGAAGCCAAAAAATCATAAATGTCTTCAGCAAATTCAACCTCCCTTTGTTTCATTTAACCACATTCTGTCCTGAAAATATTAACTACCATTATCACAGAGGAACTTAGGCACTGAATGATAAATAAATACAAATAGTAAATTATAACTTTTCATTAAAATGGTGTTTTAATTTTTTTACTTTGCCCATCATCAGGTTTTCTATAAATTAGATGTTTCTGTCTTCAGTTGAGGGGCAGAAGACACCTACTCTGTTGGGTCCCTTAGAAAGAGTCACCCTCAATCACTGGACAACCCGTCAGATTCACTACAGCTATTTAGTTACCTGAGCCGACTAATTCAACAGGAGATCAATTTCTACCTCCTTTTCTATAGTAGTTCCATGCATGTGTGCACTTTATTACAATTTTTATTGCATATTTTCTTGTTATCTCCTGCCAAATTAGCCTGGTCACATGTGATTAAATAGTTGTAGTAAATCTGAGAGGGGTTAAGTGATTAATGTTCTTTCTAAGGGACCCAACAGAGTAGGTGTCCTCCTCCCCTCACCTGAGGACAGAAACAGATCCAGTTTCTGGTTTCTAGAATTCTGGATGATGGACAAAGTCCAAAAATCTAGTAATTTTGAGAGGAAGTTAGTTTTAAAAACCTATATGATATGGAAAAGCCACACTACTGGGATTTGAAAAAGCAACTATTTTGTATGAAAAATTCTAAGTTAAAGTAAAAGGTAGTGGATGAATCCTTTTACAGAGAGTAATAATGTTCTAATAATGGAAGAATGTACTTTTCAAGTTATATCTGTTACATGTCTCTTCATCAAAGGTCTTCTGAAGTATTACAAAGTTGCTGGAAACATTATACTGTGGACTGTGTATCTTTCTTCTGGGATAGAACACCATGTAGTTCAGCAGAAGTCAATGAATATTTCAAAGCAACATTTCACCTCCACCTTCTGTACTGAAGAGTAAACCAAGCAACCTCTACTTAACTCTGAAGATGGAGTGTCAGCTGACTTTCACTGGAAACATGGCATATCACAGAAGACAGACCTCTCCATAACCACTGCTGTCAGCACCTCTAATCATACACCAAGGTACTGGTCAAATTCAGAGCAATGATCCCAACAGAGAGTAAAATACCACATTCTGAGATCCACAAGTTTATTGACACTATGTATGTATTTAGAACAAGGAACAACTTCCACAGCAGTGGAAGGATATATTGTACCATTTATAGAAAGTGTGATAAAACTTAATATGATTATCACAGAATATCAAGGTTATTAACTGCATACAGAAAATTGTATTCATCATTCTCTCAAGGTTGACTGCATGCTTAAGACAAAATTATTAGGGATCACTGGTGTTGACTTGGGCATAACAGATGACTACTACGTGGGTATTCTAAATTTGTCAGTGGGTGAGAGGATTTGTACAACAGGAGAAGTATTTAACAACACTGTCACTGTATTCAGTACACCGATGAAAATAGGCTAATTAAAATGTGTTTAACCATTAATGTAACAGACATTTTATTACCTGTTCTTGCAGATGACCATGTGATGCTTATGTCAGAAAATAATGCCTGAGGCATCTTTTAAGCTATGAACTCAAACTCAAAAATTAATCATTAAGAATAAATCCAGTTACCTGTATATATGAATACAACTTATTTCAGTTATTTTATTTTCATACATATTTGTTGCCTACTAACAATACTATCTTCTGGGGTGTAATGCTGTGCAATCCAGTAATCACAGATGTTTTGGACAAACACACTGTCTCCATATTCAAAATCAAAAGAGTAGGCCAAGCAAACACTCAGAAAGATGCAGGCAGGCATTTTGTGAAACTACAGTAGCTACAGGTAAGCGGGGAAATTACAAACATTTCAAAATACTAGCACCTTTCAGAGCAATGTAATTAAAGCACATCTTAGAAGTGGATGATTCAATTATAAATAAATCTCTGAATAAAGTTTTTATCTCAGGAATTTAAACAAATTTTAATACCATGATGTAACATGACAGTATATTCCCATTTGGCCTGCTATAACTATGGGTAAAGCACTTCCTTTCAGCCAATAAAGGTTAAGCTAAACCTGTGGTAAAGTTTGTATATGTAAACAGTTGTTAGATTTATTTCATATTCACAATGGTCATTGCTGATGCTTTTCATCTATGCTTTAGAATATGCTATTAGGAAGTCTAAGAACAACAAGGGCTAGAACTGAATGAAACCAACAAATTCCAGTCTTCACTGATAATTTATTGGATGAAAACATAAATGTCATTAAGAAAAAGCACAAAAGCTCTATTAAATGCTAATAGGGAGAAGTGAGTAAATGCCCATTCACCACCAACTGGCAGATCTAAAGATGCAAGTGCTTCTAACCCCCCCCCCAAGATATTCATCCTGAAGATGGAAATTGCAATGTTTTCTGAAAGGATGGGAAACCTTCAACATTCTACATGGCTCATTCTTAAAAGCCAAAGTTACACATTAAACTCAAGTCACAAAAACCTCCCAACAAGAATGTGTAAGGATGATCTTATATTAGCAATATTAATGTAACAAACAATTCTTCAGAAATAATTATCTATATTACATTCAAAGAAAAGAAATGTCAATAATGTCAACTGAAACACAGACCTTTCTGAGAAATGTTGACTTTTGAAACTTCTTACCTATTAACAATTACAAAAACAGGCATTTCCAATAATAAGTGTCAACAATAAAAACAATTACTATCTTGACTACCAATTCACTGCCTATGAAATATATTGTACAGATTTTATGAACCGTGCATGGATATTTAATTGTATCTGTTTTTAAAAACTATAAGAATGAAAAAGAACTTTTATTAGCTTTAAGTGCCATGGGGAAAGACCCCTGATGATGGTACAAGACACCAAAATATATACAGCTGCAATGTTTTAATTTAACATACTATATTTATGGATGGTATATTTGATATCTGCTTGTTATTTACCTGTGGTTTACATAACAATGATATTGTCTCATATAATGTCAAATGTAGGGTGGTAAGTGAATAACAGATTGTAAAGAAAGCAATTGTGCTGTAGTTTGAAGTACTATTGTGTCATTTGCTTGGAGGGATGGAACTCATCCAAATTATAGTTCAGAGCATTAATGCTTAAGCAAGCTTCCTCAGTTTGATGGCTTAAATTAACACAAATACCTGACGTCACAGAAATAATATCATAAATCAGAAAGCTGTTTATTTTGTTCTTTTAATAAATGTGAAAATGAAACTTATCTATGCAAAAAAGAAAAATTAATTTTAACTTGCTAATTCAATACCTCCTCCTCCCCAAATGAATAGGCAGTCAGTCTTTGGTTTCTTTTTGTGATAACGTAGGCAGGCAAAAATCCTACAATGCTCTAAATCAGCAACCACACACTCTTTAGTTTTTTGCAGAGTGTCAAGTATTACTACTGTGCCTGTGCATTTCACAAAAATGACCGACTTGTATAATTTTATAATGTAAAAATGTAATTAAATATGACATATTCATAGGTGGGCTGCTTACTACCTGCATCAACTGGCCACTTTGAGCAACACATTCTGAAACATTACTTATATCAACTGTTAACATGTAAATATCTGGCAGATTCAAATTTTCAATGATCATCTTGCAAAAGTCTAACAGTATTTAAGTGATTTTTTCATCCACAGACTATCCTTTGTGCAGAGCAACTTCCTTTCCTAGCTATAACAATGCACAGAAAAGTGTAGCAATTTTTGTCCCTTTTTTACTTTGATCTTCCTTTGTTCCTCCTGTTCACCTTAACAAGATGCCTAATGTGTCAGATTTGTATGGAGCCATCAGCCACTGACATCTACCAAGGAACAAATTAATTACAAGTTTTTAAATGTGGAAAAATGAAGAAGTAATTTGCTGTGCTCCCACTTGTTGCCATAGGTGTCATACAAGCATAAAACTGTCTTCCTGCTATAAATGTCAAATGTGTTCTCATAAAATGTACATACAAACACAATTTCCTTCAGTTATGAGTACACATTTGAAGATTACACACTTTTCAAAGGTGCAAGGAATAAACAAAGAAATTAATGCTTACTGTATTTACTCGCATAATTTACACTTTCCTAGCCAACAATTCATGTCTGAGTAAAATAAATGAAGAGCACTTTTCACTTCTTTTTTTTTTCCATTGGCGCTACAGCCCTAATTTGGGCCTAGGCCTACCTCCAAGAAACTCTCCGTTTCACTTTGGTTTACTAGATCTTACACATTCGGTAGGACTCCTTGTGCGGGTGATCAGTTCGTCGCAAGGCCTCTACCTGTACACAAACACAGAAAAATGCACACAAACATTCATGCCCTGACTGGGAACTTTTCACTATTTACCACTGGTAATTTAATATAAAATACATGAACTCCTTTCCTGTAGTGAACACACTGGTAATGAGGTCCCCAACATTTACTACAGGCAGAAAGCACACTGCTGCTTCATGCCCGTTTCTTCCTTTGCTTACTCTTCATTCCTAAAGATGTAGGGGCCAAGTTGCTCCAAAACACTGGCTGACTTTCCCTGGACTACAAAATGTTAGATCTCAGAAGACAGAACACCTCATAACCACTGCTGTGAACCTCAAATCCTATAAGAATTAAGGTCAATTAACTGTGTTAACAAAACTATTTTTCTAAGCTCACTTATAAAGCATAAATGCTGCACTTTTATTAATAGATGCACTGCATGGTATTGAATGTATTGTTTCTATAGATTGTACTTTTTCATTTAATTAAGTATTTTCAAACAAATTGAACAGTCTGCTACTCCACCACAATTGATAATAAGAAACAACTCCTCACATGCAGGCTCACATCAGCAGCAAAAACTACGTATGGACTCTACTGACTGTGAGTATCCCTAGCATGTACCTTTTTTCCTTCCATCCTAACCACTCATGTCTGGATTTTGAGAGTTCTGCAATGTAAAACAATGTAAAACATCCATTAATTCCCATACTTTGCCAGTGAGAGAGAGCAGTCAGCCAGGCAGTACACGAAAGTGCAAATTTAATGTTTTCCACTTTCCACCAAAAATTTGTGACCAAAATGCAGTACTTCATTTTCCTCCCCCATAATTTGTTTAAAAGTAGAGGTGTGTATGTTATGCGAGTAAATATGGTATGCTGCTCACCATCTACAACATAATCTGTACTTGTTTCTCTCCTTCCACTTACATCTGATGAAACTTTCACTCTTTATGAAATGCAGCTGCACAATGGAATGCTCAATCAGTTTTATCAAGAGCTTTGAGCCTCTCCAAGAGTGGGGGATGAGAATGATGCCACATGGAGTACATCCAATCATATACTGGGAATCCTAGGTTGTCCTTGTTCAACTTAATCAGGGCTTCTCGCAGATACTTCGATCTCCCAAGTTGTTTGGCAAATGCATCAGCTTGAAACTCAAATCGACGACTCAGAATCGTCATAAGAAAGTTTAAAATCTGTATAAGGAAGAAAAGCAATAAATGCATATATACTAACTAGTATAACTAGCAGAATGTGTACGTTGTCCATTACATTTATAAACTGGTTTGTTAATTTCTTTGGGCTAGTATAAATGCCTGCACCAATTTTTCATAAAATCTTCAATGTAGAGCAAACTCCCCATTATCTGGCACATATGAGGAATGGGGTGTGTTCATTATATTATTTGCCAGTTCCATAAGAAACTCTCACATAAATCAAATTTTTGCCATTTCCCAGCCTTTCACCTATTCCCATTTTGCCCCCCCCCCCCCAAAAAAAGCTTTCACATTAGTTCTTGCATGGGAGTATGTTCGGGTGACAGCAGACTGATCGGCAGAATATTTTGGATATACAGTGAAACTTCGATTCATCACTTTTGTCGGCCCCCCCCAAAAAAAAAGATGGATACAGAAGAATGACAGATGAGGATGCCTACATAAAATGAATAAAAATGGTCACATTTGCATATATATATATATTTACAAAATCAAAGAATCTAAAAGTAAAGTAAAGCTATCCCTGTAACAGGCCATGAAGGCCCATAGGGTTGTGAGACAAGGGTCCCACATTATCTAGACAATAGGCTCAAAGATGGCGGTAAGGTTGTCAGCCCTACACGGTGGCCACGCTTTACTCCCCAGGAAAATTTATTTAATTCCTGGTACTCATTTCTGTTAGAGGCTGAGTGAACTCCAGAGCCATAGTGCGGCCAGAAGGATTAGGTCAATTGAAAAAAATCCAATGACCTCATCGGTATTTGAACCCATGACCTTCCAACTTGTAGCATAGTGCCTTAACCACTATGCTACTGCTACCTTTCATTAGTGAAGACAGTCAGGAGTATATTATGTATGCAATTAATCCCTCAAGCCAGTTTTTAAATCAATATATACTACCCTCCCAAGCAATATATAAATTGCTGTGCACCAACCTGTTCAAAATTTCCCATTACTCTGTAAACTATCCAACAGAATTAAATGGATTTTCATGGAAAAATTAACAATAGTATAAGCTTCACCATATTTAGACTACTTTTGTCAGTAGCTGGTCTGAAAAACTTTTATAACTAAGGAAGCAGTACAGAACTATTAGGCTTATTTTGGACTCTATCCATCGTCTGGTATGTAGAAGACAAAAAACCACAACATTTTGGAGACTAGCTCTGTCTCCATCCTCGGGTGGATGGGGCAGAATAAACCTACTCACTGGTCGAGTGATTGAGGCTAGCTCTTTCTAATGGGCTCAACTGAGTAGGTTTATCCTGCCCCATCCACCTGATGAGGGAGACAGATTCAGTCTCCGAAACGTTGTGGTTTTTTATCTTCTATATACCAGACGATGGATAGAGTCCAAAATAAGCCTAATGGTTCTGTACAGCATACACCATCGTCAGAATCCTTTCAAGTCTAAAGGAAGCAGCCATGTCTGCTGACTGATAAGTACAGAAACTGCCTTCTGAGAAAGTAATTTCCTACTAATATACAGCAATGCTTTGATAAAACAACAGATGGCTGAAATTCGTATGGTTTCAATAACTATCAGCATACAGCAGCTGTAAAGATATATATTAAGATTCTGCAAGCAACATAACTGTACACAAACAAAACCTCTGCAACAGCAGGGTAGCGAGCAGTGTACATATGTAGTTAAGAGGTAATTGGCTTGAGGGGTTAAGCAACCAACTTCTTTACTGACTACATATCTTACAGCATTATATGGGGAGAAGATGAACTGAAGGACCACCACAAGACCGATTAATATTGGTTTCTCATGTTGGAATCCAAATGCACGGTACATGGCTTCATACTGGAAGAGCAATCCAAATACTAAAAATATTAACAACAGGTTCATCTGGAAAAGAGAAATAGATTCTGTTGTATACACTGGACCATTTTCAAGTATTCAGATAGCCTGAAAGCTTATACTCATGCAGCAACACATACTCTGAAACAGAGGACCACTGAATCTAGGACTCAAACCCAATTTTTAAATAATGTGCCTAGTCCTATGAAACATACACAATGACATATAAATAATTAACAGTGTGTGACTCAAGACAATGCTTTAAGAAGTACATGATTATGTGCAGAAAAAGTATCGTCATGTATGACGGGGTTTGCATGACAAATAACAATGGATTCTGGATTAGATGATTGGATTTATTGGCACTTCTTTACAATTACAATCAATTATAACAGCTCTCAATTAGTGACTGTCGAAGACGTGCTGCTCCATTCCTTACTGGACTCCCAAGTGTTTTCTCTTCTGCATTACTGACTTGGTTCTAATTTATGAGTCGGTCACCTCTTCACCTTCCAGTGTTCACTGGTTAGCACTCCACAGCTGACTACTCAATTTCTGAATCTCTTAAGACTCTTTTATAACTTCCAGGTGGCCTGAATATAGGTCACCATCTCAAATGGTTCCTCTGTTATTCTGTCTTATCTGTTGCCATGGGAATCTGTGTTTGGGGACTTGCTACCTAGCAACAATATCCCACTGTTGACTGCATAACCCCAAGAATGTGCGTAACAAAGCGTTGTCTAGCAAACGGACTTCTGCCTCTGTTGCTATTCCGACTGTCAGGCAGTGTTTACCAAAGCAATTGTCATATTTGTCACATTATGTTAACAAATCATCAATAGTATCCAATATTTTAAATTACCATCACTACTTATATTGAAGAGTGTAATACCTGCATGATGACAATATTTTTCAGCACATGATTTAACTTCCAATGACCTAACTCATGTGCCAAAACTGCAAGAACTTCAGGATTATTACATCCTTTCTTCTCATAGGTTGCAACATCTTTAATATCACTTGTAGTAGCATTGTCTGGTACATAATCCTTCAACAAGGTGTCAAAAAGAACAATACGCTTGTTCTTGAAGAATCCATAGAAATACGCATTACTGTGTGTGGATCGCTTGGAACCTGCAATACCAGAACCAGTACCAGTACCACATTACATTATGTTACATTACATATAGCAGATACACACATAACCTTGCTGTACCTTTGCAATATAACTTCAAAGAAATTTCGTAAGTAATGAATAGTACTGTAAAAGTAAAGAAAACACTAAATTTGTAATTACTGGTACAATATTGCAAACAATTATTTATTTACAAGAATGACTTCTACTATACTATTTTTTTCCAAGTTTAGCAGTTTAAACAAGAAGACTGGAAGCACAACAGTAGTAACACTGTTGTAGATGAAATAAATTTCATAAAGATGATCGAATGCACTTCTGTTGGTAGTAACACAAGTGGCAAACCTATTTATTAAACAATACTTCTGCACATGCATGTTACACAAGTGCAAGCCAGTAAGGCTTCGTAACATACTGCTCTAAAATCATACACAAGGTTGAAGCAATGTTCCTGTACATAAATGTGGTCATATGATGTAAAGGACTACTGGCAAGATCACCCACCATTCCAAAACAGCAAAGGGAGCTTATTCAGTCAATGATGCATATGGACAAGCAGTGGACAGTTTGACAAATGATAAGCGATAAGCCACATAATTTTGTTACACGTCTGAAAGACATCCTTGAGTAGGATGAGACTGCAGCAGTGCAGCGACAGTGATAAATTTCTGAACCATCATCATGTTTCCTTAACATCAATCCTTGAGACTTTGACTTCTTCCTGACTAAGAAAGAACGTCTCTCAAGTGTTTTGCCAGATAGAAAATATCTGTCAAGCATCACGACTATCTCTTGCAGAGATGGAAGGGATGAGTCAACTGACTACATACAGAACCTTCCAAGAGTATGGAAAAAATATAACGTGTGGGTCTGAATATACTGAAAGGCTGTATTTCATCTTGAATGCCAATAGAAACTACTCATTATATTACCTACATTGCCACTGTTTTCTTTCCAATTTTTGTTTGTATGCACACACAACACATAAGAGTATGAAATAAGGTACTACATACAATAAATTTATGGAAACCACTGAATTTAAATTACTTAATAACACTCTGATATAATGAAAGGAATTAAAAAATGATCATAAAGCAAATAATTATTAACTAACTCCACGCTGCAGTTTCCTAAAAAGTACATATGCAAACGGTACACAAATTCCCTACTCTTATGGAACCCAAAGGTTCGCCACTTTCACAATGGCCTGTCACTGGCTCCTGTTCTGGGCCAGCTGAATTCAGCCCACACCATTCTTCCAATATCCAACAACATGAATGAAGCAAACAGTCTTGAAATGCTGACAGTCATTCAAGCAGTCAAGACATTCTACATCTCTTATGACATATTTGGCTGCGCCATAGCTCAAGCGGTTAGCCGCTGGTTTCCCACCACGGTGGCCCGGGTTCAATCCCGGGTCTGGTCAAGTGGGATTTGGGGTGGACAAAGTGCCAGTGGGGCAGGTATTCTCAGAGTACTTCGGTTTCCCCTGCATATCTTCATTCCACCAATTGCTCCACAATCACCCTCATCTATCTTCTGGGGCTGGTACAAGAGGCCTGAACTGGCCGCAGTACAAGGGACTTAGTCGCACCCTACTAGCAATAAAAAAAATCTCTTATGACACTCGAAGGTTCTTTACAAGGCTTACACATCCTGCCACTGGTCCCTTATCTGAGCTAGCAAAATTCATTCTTATTATTCAAATACACTGTCAATAATGCAACAATGACATGAAAGGCACCTAAAATATATATTTTTTTTACTAAAATTGTAACTTTAATACTTCAAAATGTTATTAAGACATTGCAAGTATATCTTAGACACTAAAAGTGACTATCAAAACACTTCAAAATGTCTTTTTGTTTTATANATTGATTTATTTCGTCACTGTAGATCATTGTACATGATATATGACAAGTCAAGTTAATTCTGAATATTAACAGTTTGATATATAAGTAGATTAAAATTACAATAGTTACAATTTTTTTTGAGTGAATGAATGTTTGGATAAATTCTGTTATGCTGCATATTGATATATGCTAGATATGATAGTCATTATATATTTTGTGATTTTATTTGTTTGAATTATCGCACCTTGCTAATTTTATAATTTATTACTTGTGGCATGTTCTACACCTGTGTGGTCCGATCTATGGATAGTAAATATTGAATATATGAATGTATGGATAAACTATGATATATTAGATTATGATACATGCTAGATGTAAATAATCATTACATATCTTGTGTGTTTACTGGTTTAGAATCTACTGTATTTTGTTAATTTTATATTTTATATTATGTGACATGTCCTATATCAATGTAATCTGATCTACAGGATGAATAAACATGAATGAATGAATATGTTTTTCCAATTCTGCAACGTGTTTCAGCCACATATGGGCCAACATCAGGCAAATTTTAATTTATGGAGACCACTGCATGCACTGTCCATTTGTCTTTCGTGCTCCCATGCAAGTCGTTTTGTTGTATATCATATCTAGAATACTGTCATGGGGAATATGAAAGACAAGTGGACAGTGCAGTGGTCTCCCACAAATTAAAAGTTGCCTGATGTTGGCCCATATGTGGCTGAAACATGTTGCAAAATTGGAAAAACATATAAACCAAAAAGACATTTTGAAGTATTCTGATAGTCACTTTTAGTGTATAAGATATACTTGCAGTGTCTTAATGACATTTTATGATATTCAATAACATTTTAAAGTATTAAAGTTACACTTTTAGTGAAAAATATATATTTTAGGTGGCTTTTATATCATTGTTCCATTATTGATGGTGTACTTGAATAATTAGAATGACACCTCAATGCAACAGGATGCTGAAATATAATCACAGCTCAATTCAGTTGACATCCTCATATCCTATTTCTGTAAGATCCACATTAACTTAAAATCTACAGGAATATCTGGGTCTTACCTTCCACAACATAAAGTTTGTAAAGTGGAAAATCTATACTAGCTGCCAGTTCCTCTATGGATGTTCTCAATTCTCCTTCAGGTAGCGGTGTATATTTATCAAACAGTGGAGCTATGCAGTTGGGATAAACAGTGAGAAGAATGAAGGTCACAGCCATTGCAAAGATCCATAAGTAGATAAAGAAATAATCTCCACCAATCTTAACAATGTAAATGACTGCTGATATAACTGGAAGCATTATCACTTGGCCAACAATGAAAGTCTTTATCTTGTCCTTTATGAAGAAGCCAACCGTCTAGAAAAAAAAATTGGTATCTTAATAAATGACAAAACAGAATCAATATATGGTAAAAGAAACCGATGAAAGAATATTAGTAGTGTTTTTGAACTTCAAAGTCAAGTGAAGTAAGAAAGAACAAAAGGTTTTACTATAAAGAAATGGAAATTCAGATATAATCATTTAATAAATTCTATGAACAGATAAAAATCTCTTTTAGGAGCAATACAGAAACTCAAATTGTAAAGGCCTGCAAAACAGCAAAAGGAAGAAAGTTTTTCAACATATGGAAGTGCATCTGCCTTTAGAGACATGTCAGTGCCAATCTGTGCACATACACCATCTGCAGGGTGTTGCAGATCCCTTATGCTTCCACTGCATGGTCATACACCTGGTTTCCTGATGTCAGCGGTGTACGTAACTGTCATCACTTGTTACTCTCTGGAAAGCACAATGCTACATCTGACCTTAAAATCTCTGTATTTTCACTGAAAGTTTCAACTATGTGAATTTTCTGACCTGTACTTAGCATTTTTTGTACCTAATGAGTGCTGACTTTAGACATCAGGATCTCTGTATTTTCACTGAAAGTTTCAACTATGTGAATTTTCTGACCTGTACTTAGCATTTTTTGTACCTAATGAGTGCTGACTTTAGACATCAGGATCTCTGTATTTTCACTGAAAGTTTCAACTATGTGAATTTTCTGACCTGTACTTAGCATTTTTTGTACCTAATGAGTGCTGACTTTAGACATCAGGATCTCTGTATTTTCACTGAAAGTTTCAACTATGTGAATTTTCTGACCTGTACTTAGCATTTTTTGTACCTAATGAGTGCTGACTTTAGACATCAGGATCTCTGTATTTTCACTGAAAGTTTCAACTATGTGAATTTTCTGACCTGCACTTAGCATTTTTTGTACCTAATGAGTGCTGACTTTAGACATCAGCAATCTTCCATGAATGTGAAAATTGTTCAAACATAAATTTCCAATTTGTGGGTTACATAAGAGTACAGCATGGGCTTTGTGAAGATCTTACACTTTGTTGTAAACTGCCTGATCAGAAGCTTCAACAGGACACCCAAGACCTGTGTATCAACAATAAGTTACATCCTTCCTCATTTAAACTGCTTACTCCAGAATTTTACTGGAAGTTCACATATGAATATATAGTACATATGCACTCTCTCAGGGAGTTGCTTTCTTTCGTGAGAATCTTGATCCCTGAACAACACCCATGTTTCACTGAATCAAAGACACTGACATATAAAACTACAGAAAACGTGTTGTAGGTGGATGCACTCATCAAACAATGCATGCTACCTTTATACTCATAAAACAAAGTACTGGAAGTTACTCACATCATGAATAAACCGATATATAAATGAAATACTGCAAGAAATATTACTGACATCAATAACTCTTAGGATTAAAGCTTGTATTTGCTAATAAATGATACACACTCCGTCCCAAGTGCAAACAATATATATTATATGTCTTTGATCTTGTTCTTTTCTACACTACATGTTTCGGCCTCTATCGGCCATCATCAGGTGTATACTCTTAACGTTGCTGCCACACTGAAACCCAGTCTAAAATTTAACATTTAAAAAACACAGTTATTTTTGTCGTATTATCAACATCTACCTCGTTGATATGTGTCTGGTATGTAGATTATATTGCACACGTCAAATTTTCCTGTAGTAGCACTATAAAATATCAACGAGGTAGATGTTGATAATACGACAAAAATAACAATGTGTTTTTTAAATGTTAAATTTTAGACTGGGTTTCAGTGTGGCAGCAACGTTAAGAGTATACACCTGATGATGGCCGATAGAGGCCGAAACATGTAGTGTAGAAAAGAACAAGATCAAAGACATATAATATATATTGTTTGCACTTGGGACGGAGTGTGTATCATTTATCGTATAGAGTGCAACAGGATGCTGAGATATAATATTGTATTTGCTACTAGCAATTTTGTTAAGCCTCCTCACAATCCATCCTGGAACAATAATATTATTTCACACCCAAACCATGACTTCACTTACCTGCTTGTTGAAGCCATGCCTCTCTTCCAACACAAATGTGTGATAAATTGAAAATGGTAAGGTGGTAATAGTGTTGAATATATTCAGTGTGAGCATAAATGCAGCACTTCGAAGGATTTCATTATCTGCATCATAACCCAGGGTAGAGATAATAATACCGGCAATGTTCCAGAAATGCACAAAACCATTCACCAAAATGATGACCTGAAAACAAAACAACTTTAATATTTAAAAAAAAAGGGTAATTTAAAAGGTTAAGTCTTCCCATAATACACACCAAAATAAGAAATTGTGTACAATACATGACACTAATTTATGCTGAAAGTTCCTCAGAAAGTTTAAGGTTACTTTTAATACAGCCTACTCTCCACCTTTAAAAGCTGTGTCCTGAATGGATAATAAGAATACTAAGGAAAAAAGGCCAAACAAAGAGAACGAGACTCAGGAATTTAAGAACTGAACCCCTTGCAAATACAGAATGAGGTACGTACATAATGCAGGAACACACATAAAAACTTGAAGCAATGAACACATAATATGAAAATAGGGTGAACTTCAGTCTAAAACAGCAGAGCACTTGGTCAGAGGGCCACTGAATATAACAGGACTAAGTACATCCACAAAAAAATTGGGTCACCAGAAAATCAAAGATTTATTTGCAGGCCAAACCTCTAAAATATGTTAGCTGTGACTGTATTGATGGCATAACCTTAACCTTTTTGGCTGAAGGTGAACTGGGCCGTTTCCACTGCACTGAAGCATGCTTTGATTCAGGTTGGTAGTGATGCGCCCATGATTTGTTCCCAGTAACAATCCTGTTAAGCATATCTCCTCCTTCAGCTGCATTTGTAAGAGATGTTCCAAGGACACACCCATTTGTTTCGCTTTTTCTCGACCCTTCAGTTCTCTGACACCCATCGTATGCACGAAATGTCAAAATGATCACACACTATGCTGTATGCTAAACCATGGAAACACCATAGAGCAGTTGCTACACTGTCTACCATTATCCTCGCATCAGCTTGAATCAACTGTTCAATCTGCTGGACAGTTGCTTCTGTCAGTCTCAACAGGGCGACCTGGTCAGGCAACATCTGAGACTTTTGAATGTCCCAGCTGTGAACCACTTTACGCAACAAACACTTCCCACCATTAAGAGAAAACATTTCTTTATGAATATACTTTGTATCATGTTCTTTTGCCCACAAAAAAAAATTCAACACCATGTTGCGCTTCAGCAGTACATTCCTCAGGCACGGTCACCATTTTGACTACTGAAACCAGCCTCTCAACATGCACATGTGTATCTGCTACCAAGACTATCATGAAGCTGGACAATGCTGCTACCTAGTGACACACATAAAAAGCCTATTACATCCATTAGAGCTGTTTTACTTCACATTGTGACCTATTTACTGACTCTCCCTTGTATATAACCCAAATATAAATTTCTTCATGACTACAAGATTGTATGTATCAACCCACACTCATGATATGCTGAAATGATGACGTTCAGATTCTGAATTGGTGCAGAAAGCCTACTAGTGACTTAGGCATCCTTCTTGACTTTTCCTCATGGAAATATGGAAAACACTCTCAGAAATATAATATGAAAATTTTAAACTTTAAAGCTTCAAAACCAAACCCAAGACATTCATTATGCTTCCAGTTCTTTCTTGTATAACTTCAATAAATAACATCTTACAACAGTTGTGATGGTGCCAAACAGATCTTTGATGATGCTGAACGAGCTCTTATCCAGTCCATATACTCGCGCCTTATTATATGTTTCTTCATTTATAATTTCATTCAGCTCTTCAGGAACTTTATTTGCTTGTTGATAAACCTTGTGCTGTAACAATAAACAAGTTGAAATATGCATGAAAGTGACAGCAATACACAATGACTAAAAAAGTAGGAACTATAAGGTGTGCCCAGGATCCATTAGGGCTCATTTTTTTTTTATTTTGCCCTGCAATGCCATCTGTTGGCGAGTTGTGGCATTAAGATTCTTGAAGTTTCAGCTGTGGCTGTCTATAATTTCAAAGTGCAAGCATCACTGTATCATGTGTTCTGACCTTGAATGTAACAGTTCTGTTCTCATGCTCACCAGAAAATGGCAGTTGAACAGAGAGCCAACATCAAATTTTGTTTGAAGTTAGGCAAAACAGCTGGAGAAGCATACAAAATGATGAAAAGTGAGTACTGTAGTGATTGTTTGAGTCGCTCAAACATTTTTCGATGGTATGCTGTATTTCATGACGGCAGGGAGGACATCGAAGACGCTTCATGTGCATCAAAGCTGAGAACAAGTTGCACTGAAGAATATGTGAAAAAAAAAAAATGACCAAAATCCTGGCATCAGACAGATGTATTTCTGCAAGACTCATTGAGGAGCTTTTGGGAATACCAAGAAGTACTGTGCATCAATTTTTGACCAAGGATTTGGGCAAATTGAAAGTCTGTGCACAGTTTGTACTGCACGCACTGTCAGGCAATAAAAAACATGCCAGAGTGTAACACTGCAAAGACATGTTACGGTCGGCCCAAAGTGATACAAAATTTACAAAATTGATTGCTACTGGTGACAAGACATGGTGTTTTCAATATGAGCCTCTCACAAAGCGGCAGAGTGCAGCGTGGTTGAGCCCAAAAAAGCCAAAACCAAAGAAGGTGCACATGCAAAAGGGTCAAGTAGAGACATTGCTAATCGTTTTCTTTGATTCCAAAGGAATCATTCACAAGGAATTTCTGCCAGAAGGTCAAACAGTGAATTCTGATTATTATCTCAGAGTCCTCAATCGTTTGTGGACAAGAATTCTTCAAATTCGACCTGGTTATTGAGAGCATGGTTCCTGGTTGCTCCTCCATGACAATGCCCCATCCCACAAATCGAAGATTATGTGCAAATTTTTGACAAGAAAAGGGATCACAGTCCTTGATCATCCTCCGTATTCACCAGATTTGGCTCCAGCAGATTTCTGGTTGTTCCCAAAATTTAAGTTGGAGATGAAAGGAAATGGTCATGACACCATCCAGTACATCCAA